CCAAAACTCCAATTGTTTGTTCTGCCAAATGTCCCAGTGAAGTCCCTAATTTCTCTTTCTGGTCCAGATTGGTTCAAAATGAAATATGTCCAAGTTCTAATAAGATCAATCAAGTTAGAATCAAATCTAGTCCTTCCAAAATATACTCAAAATATCTTCCCAGTTCTGAAATCTCACTTTAAAGTCTCCAAATGAATTTTAAATTTACTGGATTTTTCAAATCTCTCTATAGCCACAGGGCCAGAAGGAGGAAGATCCTGCCTACAAAAGATATCCTCCCCATCATATATCATCTTAACTAAAGATTGAAAGAACATGTAGGCATTTGACTAACATCTCCAATTGTTTTTCTTCTGTGCATTTTGGTTGGCCAATAAAGGTATCACTGATAGATTTTTGTTTTAATTTGAAGTCTCCAAATAGTCAAAGTCATATTAAATGCCGTTTCAGTCCTGTTTAATCCAATTTGGTTCCAGCGCACTCTAATAGTCTTCAAAATTCTAGAATATCACTTTAAAGTCCCTACAAGCTATCCTCTTGATCTCTTTCTCTTCCAGAATCCTTTTTGTCTATTATAATATTTCTTTTTAATTTGTCAAAATTGCAAGAGCGGCTCTTGTTTCTCCCACAGAAGGTTACTCTACCATGGTGAGCCCTGATCTTCCTAAGGTTCACCTTGTATGAGCAGCTTTTAAAGAGAAGTAATTAGTGTATGTAGAAAGGTGTGGTAATGTTGATAATCTCTGGTGTTTTCTTTTTTAACTTAAGTTTAATTTAGCTTTAAGTGTAGCGTTTAGATTTAAAAGGTGGTGGCATTGCTTATGCCCCATAGGGTGCAGATTACCAGTTGTGACTGAGGGCCTCTGGAGACGGGTGGCCATGGGCCACCCCAAGAAGCTGCAGATTGGGGTCAAAGCTGCCCCATGTCTCAGCCCTGATCCACTCTTTTTCCAGCCTTGGAAGGAGCACTAAAATAGTGATCCTTCAGCAAGGTGCAGAAAGGGGTGCTGAAAGAGGTGGTGTGTGCCTCTTTGTCATCTCTTCCAGTTAAGCATGTCCAGATGCTGAGCTGGAAGGAGGTTATCGGAGCACCCAACGTGTGCAATGACTGATGCTCAGATGACATCCTTGGGAAGGGGTTGGGGTGCCCAGCATGAGGCACAAAGGGAGTTCCTCTGCAACCTCTTCCTCAGCATTTGCAACCCTTTTTCAATCTTCTTATTTGTTTCTGGGTTCTGATGCTAGAAACTGGTCCTCTCAGAGTTCCTCTGAGCCCCCTTTACTGGGGTGGGGGTGTCTTTGCCTCCCTCTGAAATCTCCTTCAGGGGCCCCTTCAGCACAAAAATCTGCAGTTCGTCATGTCAGCTTCATGTGAACATGACCTCTCACTTCACCTCAGTGACCGGAAGTCCTATATTCATTATTCATTTAACTTTAATTCCATTTGTTCACCTCCATTTACTCTTACAATACCTTTTAAAACTGTTTCATTCTTTTTCAGTTTCCTCAAAGGATTTACCATTCATTGAGCAAATCAATTTGTCCATTTCTATGGTATCTAACATCTTTATCAACCATTCATCTATTGATCAAGACCCTCTTGACCTTTAGTGGGAAGGTAACAGCAGTCTATGCAGTTATGCTGGCCACATGACTGCAGCATCATCTTAGACAATGCTGGCTCCCACAGCTTAGTAATGAAGATGAGATGAGTCCCCCTACAGTTGGACATGACTAGACATACTTGTCAAGGAGGAAACTTTTACCTTTACTTTAATAAATGTGCTTCCCATTAAATGCTGATATGCTGCTTACTTCCTCCCCCATCAGAAATCTTCTGTCCAGAGAGGATATCACCTATTACCTGAGGGGAAACAGGATAGAAATTCATAATTTTCACACCATAATGGCCACTCCAAATGGGCCACCTGGTAAAAGACACACACACACACACACACACACACACACACACAACCTTCAACTTTTCAGAAAGTTTTACCTCTCAGCCCAGCCATTCTCAGGGAACAAAACACCATATGACAAAACACCATATGGCGGAATGTCTAGAAAGAAACTCTTTCAGAACATGGCCACACAGCCCGAAAAAAACCCACAAAAAAACTATGGATGCTGGCCATGAAACTTACGACTTCACACTATATGACTGCTGCCCCTTTTTTTTTCTGTGATGAAAACAACATAAAAACAAATAATCTATCTTAGATAAACAGTACCTAGAGCCATTGTACAAACAACTTGGCCATCACATACCTCTAATTATTAGTAGTGTTACTTCTGTACAAATCACAAGTCATAGAAGTATATATGTATTTATTTATTTGTTTGTTTGTTTGTTTTATATACATGCTACCATTCTCCCAGAAGGGACCCAAGGTGGCTCACAGATCAAACCATTAAAAATACATTACAATAAGATTTTAAGCAGTCAGAATCATCTAAATCAGGGGTAGGCAACCTTTCCCCTTTAAGGGCCGAGGGACTTCAGCTCCCAGATGCCTCAGCCATGTTGGCCAATAGTCCCATGTTGGCCAATAGCTCCTGGGATTCTGGGAGCTGAAGTCCCTCGGCCCTTAAAGGGGAAAGGTTGCCTACCCCTGATCTAAATACTCTTTAAAACTCCCCTCCCCTAGCAACAAAGAAACAGCAAAATGAGAACTGAGCAATTTCAGTTGGCATGGCATGCTTATTAACTGTTCAGAAGAAAATAGAAAACCTCTGGATTGAAGGTAATGAAATGGAATACTGAACTGGAACAATCCAAACAGCAACCTTTTTGCAGCTCCCATTTATTCATTTTCCATTTTTCCTTTCTAAAATCCTTTCTTAACTCATGTTTCCTTTCCATGTGCAGCTAAATGTAAATCTTAATAGTGAAAGCTCTCAAAATTGCAAGGCTATGCTGCTAGAATAGGCCAATGCCATACACTTTGGCAAATTTATAATTATAATTTTAATAATTTATAATTATTATTATAAATGCTTTTGTTGGTGGCCAAGTTGTTTCAACAACAGCTTCTGGACAGGTTTGGGAAATCCTGTACATCATCATTACATGTGAACCTGAGGAGGTATAATTTATTGTGTAATTCTTTCAGATATTATTATTATTATTATTATTATTATTATTATTATTATTATTATTATTATATTTTCTTATATCCCACCTTTCTCCCAATACAGGGAATCAAGGCAGAGAATAACATATTTTAAACAATACAATTTAATAACAGTACAACATTAAAATGTATAAATATAAAATTGGGGGGGGGGGGAACAATTAAACCAGAGGTACCTTCCAGACAGGAAGAAAGCCTTGATTTATTTGTCCTACATAAGTGGTTTCCTGGAAACAGATGTGTATATATGTTTACATGAGAGCAAAATGTTTATTTAAGGGTTTGAGATTCTGGTTTTCATCTCCCTTCCAGTTAGTTCCTGCCAAAAATGCAATTTTCAAATGGGCTAAGGTTAACTATCACTCTTATCACCTCAAAATATTGTCATGGTAAAGGATTCAATAGCAGATAGAAAATAGAAGGTAAATGATAGCCAAAATGTACAGTCCCCATTTTGGAAGCTTGTATACTGCTGACTACAGATGGTAAGGATTATGAGCAATGGGAAGATGAAAAACAAGACTGACCTAGCCTGCTAATTCTTTTGTGCCTATTATAGCAGCCAGTGCCCAAAATGACTTTTTTAAAATGTGCTTAAAGCTCCTAAACCACTAGCCTTCCAAAGAATCAGAGAGATGTATGTGTATTTATTTTTAAAATGTGAAAAGTTTCTTTGTGCCTCAGAATTTCACACTGGCATGGCCTTTATGACCAGCAGAAGTAGAGGCATAATGTGGCAATGCAAGTTGAACAAACAGGGTGTGCCTTTTCTGAAGATTTTTTTCAGTAGATGGTAGATTATACTGAAGAATGTATTACAGATGGGACAGTCACATTTTTAAACATTTTCCTGCATCACCATCAAAAGAGCCAACTCCTTTTTGTGTTTTTGTTTTTTTTTTTAAAAAAAAAACAAACAAGTAAATATATCTATCATGTTGGATTTTCAGCAAAGCAGCCTTTCCATCTTCTTTATTTTCTTCTTCCAACTCTGGGAAATCTTCAGAAATCTTTTTTTTTTTTTTTTGCCCTTTTTACCAAATTAAGGGTCTGTTGGAATTAATAAAGGAGAGAGCTGGAGTTCTGCAGACCCTAAATAATGCAGTAAGAATGAGTTCCTATGGTAGAGACTTTATAAGCACGTAAATCCTCAAGTAGACCTTCAACAAAGGCAGATATGGTCTTTTTCCCCCCAAGGGGGGAGTGTTGTGGAAACTGTCATTGCTAAGAGTGCTCATCACTTCTTGACATAAGATGCTAACATCAACAATTTATGTGAACATGTTAAACCCTCTGCATACTTGTGACAATGTCAATGAAGCAGGAATCTATCTGGGTTAGGGTCAGAGTGTGAAGGTACAGAGTGTGAAGGTACATCAAGATGTTTGGTAAATGCAGAAGCTAAAGGAACTTTGAGAAGAAGAAGAAGTCATCCAGTCCAACCCCATTCTGCCATGCAAGAATACATACAGAATCTACAGTTGGAAGGGATCTCAAGGGCCATCCAGTCCAACCCCATTCCGACATACAGGAATACATAGAATTCTAGATTTGGAAAGGATTTTTGATGTGGTTATGTATCTTGAAATCATTTCTGACTTATAGTGAGCTAAGGTGAACCTATCACAGGGATTTCTTGGCAAGATTGGTTCAGAACTTCAGGGGAGTTTTGCCATTGCCTTCCCCTGAGGCTGAGAAAGTGTGACTCACCCAGGGTCACCCCGTGGGTTTACATGGCTGAGCCAGGATTTGAATCCTTGTCTCCAAAGTGTGCATCTCCATAGATGTGTTTAGCATGAGGCAATTGCTCTTATAATGGCTTAAACTATAATTTTATAGCCACTTTGAGTCCCTGTATCACGAGCCAGCATAGTATGATGGTTTGAGTGCTAGACTATGACTCTGGAGACCAGGGTTCAAATCCCAGCTCAGCCATGTAAACCCACTGGGTGACCCTGGCAAGTCACATGGTCTCAGCCTCAGAGGATGGTGATGGCAAACCCCCTGTGAAGAAACTTCCCAAGAAAACCCCATGGTAGGTTTGCCTTAGGGTCACCATAAGTCAGAAATAACTTGAAGACACAAAACAAAAACAACAAAGGGATATAGCATAAATAAATAAATTATAGCTTTAACTTTAAAAAGTCTTTCTTTAAATGCAACAAACCTCAGCATGTTCCCCTTGGCAAGCAGCAGGAAACAGCCAACTAGTAAGCCTCTGGTAAGACCCAATTTAAATGGCTGCTTTCTTAAAATATGCGACCCTTTCCATCAAATTCTCATTTTTTTTAAAAAAAAAATCTTTATTGCGTTTTAAAATATATTAAAACAAAACCAATAATTGGCTGCATTATTTACATTATATACATTCTTATTACATACATCTATATGATGATGATGAGATAGAATCTTAATAACATCAATTTACATCAATTTGCTTCTCCTTATCTACTCTTCTGTCCATATTCTTCCATCCTAGTCTCTTTCTCTCATTCCTACATTCTTGTATTCACTCTTACTTCTTTTTCTTCTACACTTCCTCACCACAGTCTCACTAAGTTGATTCTCTCTTATCATTATGTCTGGTCTTCCTTTTTCATTTGTTTGATCTTAATAACCTATACCCATCCTTTATTTAAAAGAGTATAAGGAGTCTTATATTAGAGTCTTGTTTGGTTGTTTTCCAGCTTTCTTTTGTAACTTGTCTTGGTTTCATTTTTTCTTTTCATGAGTTTATCTTACTTCCCACAGTTTAGCTACATCTTGCCATTCTTCCTTATTCTTTTGTATATAGTTATTTCTTAGTGGTTTGTTATTTTATCCATCATTGCCATTTCCATTATTTTTATGATCCATTCTTCAATAGTAGGAATCTTCTGTTCTTTCCATTTTTTTGCGTATAATATTCAGACAGCTGTTACCATGTAAAGTATTATTTTTCCATATTTCATCTCCATTGTTGTCTCTGTCTCTGTTAACATATTTAACAAATATAGTTTAGGTGACAGTTTTATCTCGATTTTCAGTTTTTAATTTATTTTGGTATGAATTGGTTTCCAGAATCTCTTCACTTTTGAACACTGCCACCACATGTGGTAAAAGGTGCCTTTTCCTTTTTACACTTCCAACATGTGTCACTAGAGTAACCTTTAAATTTAGCTACTTTGGCTGGTGTTAAATGCCACCTATAGAAGAGTTTGTAGTATTTCTCTTTTAAATCATTACATTTTGTGAAGTTCATCAAATTTACTTTTTAAAGGTCTCATCCCTTCACTTAATTTGCAAATGATTAAAAAAAATACTCCTTGGTTGAGAAGTTGGAAGTTTTACAGTTTGTTAATAGTTTATGGAAGCATTGAGTAACCAATATCTTACATATTTGATGAAGAGCAATGAGAATTCTTTACATCCCTAGTTCTATATAGCACAATTCAGCCAGGTTTGTGTGCTTGGCAAACACAATGAAAAATAATCAACATTTTAAAGAAATAAACAATCCAAACATGTCATGTGTTTGTCATCTAAATATTCTGAATTAAAAAAAACAATGTATCTTGTTCTTTTATTGTGAATAAAGGACAAGTAGAAAGGGTTTTTTTTGTTCGGTTTTATTGGAGTAGTGTGCTTGTAGATCCAGCAGAACCAGGGAACAATAAATAAATAAATAAATAAAATAAAAAATCCAAGCTTCTAAAAATTGAGCTTTTATTGTTATTGTTGAAAAAAATAATAACAACAAGCAAAGTAAAATACAATCCACTATAGGATCACATCTTGCTGATGTGGCTAAACAAGAATAAAACTACAGATCCATGTTTCCAGATCTTAAAGCTACATTGTAAAGCAATATAAACATATTATAGATCCATTGAGAGAAGTAAAGAGAAGAAAAAGTGCGCTCCAAAGGAAGCAAATAATAATATCAATGCCAAGCACAGAGTTTCTCAGTCCAGCCCTTCTCCACCTTTTTGGGTGTTACCCTTCAAGTTGATTGGATGTTCTGTATGTGATGTTTGTTAACCCAGCCTCTTGTTGTTCATCATCCCCCACTTGATCTCCTTTCCCATACTAGCTTTTATTATTGTTTTTCTTATGTAAACAAGGCTGCTTTCCCACCTAGAGTTTTCTATTGTTATGTCTCTCTCTGGCCATCTGGACTGAGTTGTGCTTGCCTAGAAGCTGTTCTCAAGTGGAAAATTACAGACACACACATCTTTACATTTCACCTTTGACTGCATAGCCCATCTATACTCTGACAATTTTGATTGTTGGATTGCTCTCTGAGTTTCTTCATGTACAGTTTTAAAGAATGTCAGCAAAATAACAACAAATAGTCCTTTTAGCTTCTCAGCCTATTAATGTGCATTGACTTTCATACCATTCACATACATTACTGAGAGTAGGGGTGGGGAAAGGATAATGAAAATATTTGTTGTTGTTATTTCTTTTCTGGGGGAAAATGGGTTCCTGACACTTGGAAACAACATAGAGGCTAAAGTTATGCACAGTCTGACTCTGTTTTTGGACATCCAGACAAGTTCTTGTGCAAAAATAAGTGTGGCTCTGTTGTGTGAATAATGTTCACACCCACCCACCCACCCATCCACACCAGTTTCTAGAAACATATTGGAGGTTGAGTGCAAAAAATGATGGGTTTTGACACAAAAAAAGCAATTTTGCCACACACAAAAATATGTTTCTGCAAACAGCTATGGATAAAGTTTGCAAAAATAAATAACTGTTTCTAAAACATACAATCCTTGGTGCAAAAAATATTGTTCTGGACAACTCCCCCTTCTCCAATTTTGTATGAAAAGACCACATGCATTTCTGGAAACAGTGGCTGAGATTCTGCCTCAGACACATGGCTATTATATCATAGTTAAGCTCCACCTCTTGATCACACACCTGTAATCCATCTTAAAAACCAATCATATAGTCTGAGTAACAAGAGTTCTGTGACACTTGCAAGCAGGGTGCAAGATGATGTGACCCTGTGCCATTGAGCAACAGTATGACAAAAAATTGTGAGAGGACCCCACAAAGATGCTTGTTTTTGGCCCTCACATAATTGCTTGCTGGCAGCAGGGATTGGTCACATCATCCTGTAGCAACCCAGTTGCCAGTACTGCAAAACTCAATTTTTTTGGGATGCGTTGACTGGTTTTAAGATTGGTTGGGGCTGGTGATATTTGGTTTGGCAGTGGTATCACACTCATAAAAATGATACAAATGAATAAGAAACAGTTACATGGTCATAAGTCTAACCTATGATGTCATAACTAACAGAATGCTAGCTAGAATTTTATATGTCTGCATGTGCACATGCACACATATGGAGGGACATGCATGTACAAAGTGATCTATATTTCTAGAAACACACATGTTCTTTACACAAATTAAAACACATATGTCCCTTGCTGTGATTGTTAACTGCCCTCAGGTTGACCCTGACTCATAGCAAACCTGTGGATGAGACATCTCCAAGACCCCCTATTCTCCACTGCTCTGCTTAGGTCCTTCAAATTTAATCCTGTGACAACCATTGGATTTGTGGTCTTTCTCTCTTTTTGCTACACTCTATGGGCCTCGGCAGACGGCTAATTGAGCTGTCTTCCGGGCCTGGAAGAGGAGGGGCAGCCGCATGAGCGGCGCCCCTTCCTCTTCCTGAGGTTGCCCTCGGAGTCGCCGGCCATCCGCATGGCCGTCGCTCCGGGGATGACCTCACGCCACGGCGACCGGACGCGCCGCAGCGTTTGAGTCAGGGAAAGTGCGCCCACCACTTTTAGGGCACACTTTCCCTGAAATCCAAAAGGAGCGCCAATTTGGAGCTCCTTTTAGATTCACCGCAGGAGTGCAGAGGTGCGGAGGCTGAGCTCCGCCGGCACTCCGACCCGCAGCGTCTCCAGGGCCTCCGTCTGCCAAGGCCCTACCTTACCATTATTGGCTTTTCTAATGAGTCATGCCTTCCTATTCTGGCTCTGATTCTGATTTTTTTTTCCTATCTACCTTTATGTTTGCTTCTCTTCTTTACTGAATGGATTGTTTCATCTCTCATTCATTGTTTCATCTGTTTCTTTTTGGCCACTATTTGTATTTTCCTGCATTCTTTCTTAATTATGCCCTTGGTGTCTGCCCATAGTTCCTCAAGTTCTTGGTTGATTATACATAATAGTGCAAATCTTATTCTGACATTGTCAGTAAATTCTGTTGGGATATTGTTCAAGTCATATTTAATGACTGTTTTTGTTTTCTTCTTCAACTTTACTCTAATTTTGATATAAGTACATGATTTCTGCTGCAATCAGCAACTGGTCTAGATTTGGCTGTAATAATACAGCTTCTCCATCTTCTGCTTCTGAATATGTAGTTTCTTTTATTATTCTGTCTGGTGATGTCCATGTGTACAGCCTCCTCTCTGGTTTTATGAAGAAGGTGTTTGGAATGAATCGGTTATTGGCCTCACAAAATTTTATTAGACACTTTCCTGCTTTGTTTCTTATACCTGGTCCAAATTTGTCTATTTTTTTATTCTTATTTGCTGCTAAATTTAGCATTCTAGTCACCTATAACCAAAAAGACAAACAAATGAGTCCTAGAGCAGATCAAACTGGAAACCTCCCTGGAAGCCAAGATGATATTTAATCTTATGTTGGTGTGTTGTCAATTTCTTCCTCTACTCCTTCATAGAATCTCACTATTTCTTCTTCCTCTGCTTCAGTGGTTGGCATGTACATTTGGATTATTGTAATATTTATTTACCACATAGACTTGGAACAACCACTAAGGAAGACCAAGGAAAAAAGTGCAAAATCAGTCTTATTGTTGAACATAAAGAAAAGACAATGAAAAATCTACATAAATTTAATGAAGAAATGGAAATAGTAAAAAACTTCTTATACCAGGGATCAAACATTGATAGGAATGGAGACTGC